AGAACTGGGGTACAGGCCAGAGGTGCAGGGGAGGTGAGAGGATTCACCAGAGACAGACTGGGGAGCAGAACAGGCTGACCGACAAAGTACACTGCTGAGGGGAGCAGCAGGTGGGTCAGGAGAGGTCTGCCGCCATGTGGTCACCTTCCGGGCAGGCGGGGATTGAACTCAACGCTGAAGTGGCTTTAGCTTCCCATTGCTGTGCTTTAACCTGCTGCGCCACCAGGGAGGGCCTGCCTTCCATTTTTTAACTTTGTCTAATTCTCAGAGAAACTTTTTTTTTAAAAAAAGATACTACTATACCTCCTTGTAAAGATGAAGAAAAAGACATTATGGTTTGAGGCCATATGTGCATCTCCTTATAAAAATAATTTTAAACCATTTATTGGAAGGACTGAGAATATAAATGTACACATGTATTTTCACCTCCTGATTATTAATATAAGTATAATCAGAGTGGAAAGGGGTGTGGAAAGGGGCATCACAAGGGAGGGAATTAGAGTATTTTTCAATTTTAAGAGTTTCTTCAGCAATTCTGCATCTAGGTATAAGACCTGGAGAAATTCCTCCATATGTACAAAAAGAGATCATTGTGAAGTTAAACACCCTGGAAAGCTGTCAAATTAGCCTACGTTTTTTGGAGGTGAGCATTCTCCATTACATTATTTGGTATAAAGTTCTAGTTCCTATCTAAAAATATTTCCATTTGAAAATTAATCTCTTGTTTGTTTGCTGTGGCTTAGACTCTTTACTTTTTAGATTATCACGTAATTGAAGAATGCAAAGTCTAGCATCCTTTCAATTACATTTAAAATATTTCCTTTCCTAAGTGAGGAAATTGTTCTTTGTATACATTTAAAAATAATTCCTTTCAGTTATATAACTAGCAGTCAGTACCAGTTTGTTTGGGGGCATGTTCTCATACACATTTTTGTCTTGAAAGATGAGTTACAAGCATATATAACATAACTCCATAAAAATTAAATATGAAGTTAGTGAAGACATGGAAATAGGATTTAAGTGAAGAGTAAGTTAAGTATATAAAACGCATCCTGTTCAATCTTATACACAGACCAGAAGGAGGTGACATATATATATATATATATATATGGTTTTCTCACAGCCGAGGGAAATATGGTCATTTCCACAATTAGGTATTCAGAAGACAAAAACAAATGGCGATAATAAACAAAGGAAATATAACTATACTGGTGCTAAAACCAGAGGAAAACAATTTCCAGATATTGTCAGAGAGGGTAAATAAAAAAACAGATTTCATGCTGTTTTCTTATAAATCCCTTAATGTGACTTCACAACATTATTCCAAAGTGAATTCATTAAGGACATCTGAGGGAGGGAAGCAGCGAAGGGAGGCGATTGGGGGCTGGGAAGGTGAGGAAAATGTGGTCTATGTTTCCATGCCAAGGTTACAATCTTCTTGAGGGCAGAAACAAGGTTTTATGTCTCCTAGCATTCAGGGGAGGAGTGTCATAAGCCAGGCTTCTTTGCTTGTTTTCTTCCTCTCTCTATTATGTCAAACATTAAGCTACCCATCTTCAAAATTTAGTGGAAAAAAACCTGCAGATACTGATAACAAAGTGCTTTGGACAGAAAAGTATAGAGGTACGTGTAAGGTTGCTGAGAATGTAAGGAGCAGTGAAGACAAATAAATTGAGCCAGGCCAAGAAGGACGAGGGAGGGGGCCTTCTAGGCAAAGGAGATGACGCTAAGAAAGTAGATGCATGTGTAAGAGAGAGGAGGCAGAGAAGGGAGAGAGGATGTGCGGTATTATAAAAACTTAGCGTGTCTAAAGAAATTTTCACTCTGACTATATGACACCAGTGGGTAGGAGTGAGGGAAGAGTCTGAGTGCTGAAGTCAGATTGCCCGCTGGTCCCAATCCCAGCTCTGTCATTTACCAGCAATGTAACTGAGAAAATTATATAAACTCTTGAGCCTCTGATCCTGATTTGATAATGGGGTAAGGGTAATAATAGTCCCTACCTTTTGGGACTTTCATGATAGATAACTTAATACTTATGAAACACTCAGAACAGCACCTGTAATAGGGTAGGTATAAATTTAATAAAGAGTAGCTATTGTTGTGACCTCATTGTTCTTTCATTCCCACTTTCACTCCATTCCAAACAAGCCTGACTGATTCTGCCTCTAAAACAAATATTTAAGTCATCTTCCGTCTGTATAATCTCTGTTTTTAGAGCCTCTACTTTGGATCAAAAACTATGATTTTTTCCTAGATTATTGCAGTAGTCTCTTAACTGGTCTCCCTGCTTCTACTTTTCCTCTGTCTGTCTTATCATCTGATAAATCAAGTGTCCCTCCATTAAAAAAATCTGTGTGCCTCATCACATGGCATACCAATCATTTACAATCCTCCTTATCATGACCTTAAAAGATTTTAAATAATCTGGTTCCTTCTACTCCTAATCCCACCTCACATGCCTTCCTACTCATTACGTTCAACCTCTAGCTGCTAGAGGTCTGCTAGGACCTATGTACCTGATGTTTCCTCTGCTTCTCCACTTCTTAACCTATTTGCTTCCTTTTTGTCTTCTAGAACCGAGCTCAAGAAATCTGAGACTCTAGTTTGAGACCAAACCAAAATAACAACCATCCTGCTTACTGATATGGTACAGTTTGTAAATTGATGAAATCGATGGCCTTAATTTCTTTGTTGCTTTTGTTTTGTTTTCCTATTCCCAGTCCTACTGTAAGTCTTATTCTTTGCTATTTTCTCAATGCCTTTAATAGCAAACATCTTCTCCTCACAATCAATAAATATTTATGGAATTGATATTGAATGAATTGAGAGTAGGGAAACAGGGGTAATGCCACAAAGATTAAATTACCTTTGGCCAATTATTACGTTTTTGTTGTAATCCAGAGAAATGATAAGACCCTGGCAGTGGTTTTCAACCTTATCTACGTATTGGAATCACCTGGATATTTATTTATATTGATGCCTGAGTACCTCTCTCAGAGACTCTTATTTAATTGATGGGTACAGTCTGGACATTAGGATTTTTAAAAGCTCAATAGGACTTCTACTACTCAAAGTTGAAACCACTGTCCTAAAAGCATAAAGGAGGTATGAAGAGTTGAGTACGGAATATTTAGGATGTATAATATAATAAAAGGACGAGGTGGTTAGTTATGAATCAGAAGTGAATGAAAGGAAGGTACAGTGATGAATCCTTGGTTTCTAGCTTAAGCCTGGATGAACGAGAAAGACAAATTTTGAGTAAAAGATAAATTTCATGTTGGACCCATTGAGTATGAGGTGTCTGTGGGAATGTCTGTGTAGCTGTTCAATAGATTTTTCTCAATATGACTTATATTGCTTTCGTGAAAGGTAGGCAGTCCCGCTAGTTTCCAAGAAGACAAGAAAAGCATCTCTGGAAAACATGACAATTGTACTGAATACAAGACAATTCTTGCTCTGCTCAACCTTCACTGAAAATTCTTTTCCAATCCCACTCTGTTCTGAAATGCTGTTTAATATATTTAGATACTTTTAAGAAGGTTTATCTATGCATCCTATTCTACATAGACATTTAATTTACAACTCTGCACAAACTGTAGGTTTGAAGTATCCAATTGATCAAATTGTTGGCAGCCTTCAGGTGGCAATTAATGGAATATAGAACTTGTAATCAATGTAAATTAGCTAGTCAACATTAAGTACTTTCATTCCTGATTAAAGGTATTTAGACTGCCTAGGCTTACTGAATTTTCTTATAGGTAAACATTTACTGGGTTACCAAAGATACTAAGTAGAGTCAGAAAGACCATGGCTCTATGGTTTGCTTCTAATTTAGACAGACACACTAAAAGAAGAATTCAAAGAGTGATATATTTAGTTTAAGTAACAGATGGTGAGTGGACATTCTGTCCAGTATCTGTCACATTCCGTTTCACAGTATTCCATGAAAGAGTGACTCTGACTCTTGAAATTAACTAGCAGGGATTGGACCTGGTTTGGACTGAATGTGTTTACTCAACTGAGAAAAAGTGGAAACAAGTCTTGTTCAGATTAAAATTCAGAAGGGGTTATGCGTGGCTTAGAGAAAATGAAGGGATGGGACAGACAATGCTGGACTAAAGTGAATTCAGAACATATCAAGGCCTGAAATATAAGTGTCTTGTGAAATAAGAGGGGGGTGATGTACGTGAAGATCTTCAGTGAACCCCCTCCCCCCCTTAAGGCATTAAATTGTGGCGATATCACTCCTAGAAAGGCGATGTGGACGCCGCCACTCTTCTCGGGAGGACATTTCCTCGGGGGGGGGGGGGAGGGAGCAGCAGAAACTAAAACATCCCGGCCCTGCTCTCCCCGGGACTGCCAATGCAGCAGGTGAACCAAGAAAGCATAAAGGAATACAAGGCAAGGGCAACGCCCAAAGCCAGGATCCCCTAGCCCGGCATCTCCTTCCCCTCCGGGAGCATCGCCAGCACCCCCTCATCCCCCCGCGTCTCGGAAGACGCCTGCCCGACAGCTCGGCCATGGGAAGTCCTGAGGGTAGGAAGGAGAGGAAGGACCGCCGACGGTCCCTCCCCCCATCTCCACCCCACCAGGGGACCGACAGCCGGCCCACGCTCTGGGACACAGGGCGGGGAAAGGCAGCCCGGCGAACGTGAGCGAGCGAATGCTCGGTCCCAGAGCCTCCCGCGGCGCACCCGGTCGGCGTGACGCCATGACGCACGGCGCGCGGGCGGGGCGGCGGGGCGGGGCAAGGCGGGGGCCGGAGGAAGGAGTGGGAGGAGGGGGCGGAGACAGCGGGGGCTGAGCGAGGGGAGAATGGCAGTTGCGGCGCTGGTTCCCGGGAACAGCCGTCAAGACAGAGCTGCGGAGGAGGAGTTCTCGAGAGCCGCCGTCTGGACCCCTCCTCTCCGTTCCCCCCGCCCCAGCTGAGAAGCGCCTCGGCGGGTCTGAAGGACCCTCCCTTGCACTTCCTCCGGCTCCCGCCGCCGCTGCGGGGAGATGGGCCTACCCGCCCGCTGCCCGCCGCCCGCCGCCGTTCTGTGGAGTTGAAGGTACTGGCGGGCACCGGAGGAGGTTGCGCTGGGGAGCGGGAGGGCAGGGGCGGCTCCCGTTTCCGAACCCGGCTCACTGGCACCGATCTGGACCTCGCGCCGCTCCCGGGACAGAAATGGGTTGAGAGTCCACGAAAACGGCGCCCCCTCTCGTGCTCAGTGCGGCGGCGGCTGGAGCCGTGGCCGGCCGGGAGGGTCAGGCCTCGGGTTGGTTCCGCGTCGCCCGCCGGCCGGGTCTGGACGCTGGCGCCCCCTGGGCGCGCGAGCCGAGCGGAGCGTGGGATCCGCCCCGAGTCCTGCCCGCCTGGCCCGGCCAGTCTGCGGAGCCGGTGGCCAACCGGCGGTGTTGTGACTGGCCCAAGCGGAGCTCCCCTGGACACGACTTCCCCCGAACCCCCGAAACGGGTGACATCGCGGGCGCCGGCCGGCCGCAGCCACCAGGCGGCGGGGGCGGAGCACATTCCTGATGGGTGAGACCCGCTGTAACGGGACCGATTTCCGGACCTCGCTGCAAATTCGGAACCGGGACCGGTGTTCCCCAGCCCTGCTGCTAAGGAAAAGGGAGGCATGCTCTGGTGAAGGGTCACCGCGAGAACGGCTTGAAAATCAAAATCAAAAACAAACACAAGAAATAGAGTAGTCTTGGGGTAAAAGTAAGCGTTCTTAGGAGGGTTTCCTGGATAGTCTCTCATGCTTGATCTAGCCGTCACCCAGAAAGTCATGCCACTATTTTTAATTGCCAGTTTTTCTTAATTAGGGGTTCATCTCTGCGGTGCTCTTTTCCCCATTTCCACTAATGGGAATAAGAAGTTGTTTACTAACCCCACGACAAGGGCAGTAAATAAAAAAAGAGGGTAGAGTGTTTAAGGCTATATATGGGAGAAAGAAAGATTTTAATTTTTTTTGCCCCACAGCCCTCTGAAGGTAGGCATATCCAATGATACTTTGTCCTGGTTAATATTTACTATTCAAAATGCTGCAGAATGTTCTGTTAACAGAAGGGCTGAGGTTGGAAAGGAGAATGTAGAAAGAAGTGCCAACCGCTGCGATTTTCAAACCCAGGTGTGGTTGTAAATGCTAGTTTGAAATGTTAGTAAACAGTAGAGGATAAGCAATGCTTTCCCCTAACAATTGCCTTAAAATGTTGTCTCTTTATTCCTTTTTTTTTTTTAAGATAGAACATAACTTTCTTTTGTTGTTCCCCCCCCCCCTCACTTATTTTAGCCTAGATTTCTTGACCCTTTGGTTATGTGAAATCTGACAGTATTCCTAAATTTCATTTTCGGTTTTGCCATTACCTGTCTTAAAGCGCATCTCACCAGTTCTGTTTGTAATTCAAGACATTACTGTATTTGTCTGTGCTTCCTTAACACTCAGGTGTCTGAATTGCATTAGAATGTAAATATGTCTATTAGAAAATGGCGGTGATGTAGTCTTAACTCTTACTTTCAAATGTTCTTTCCTTGTTGCAATCAAGGAAACATAGGATGTAAGGGCTTCGAATTAAGTCCTGGGACTTGAGAAACCAAATTGTACAACAGCAGCCAAAAAAAAAAAAAAAATAAAACCCCACCCTTTTTGTTTAAGTTCTTTTTTTAGTAATGGAAGCTTATAACTGAGGTTTTTGAATAACTGATGTTTATATCTCATGTGTCCAAGGAAACTATTTTAATGTTATGGCAAGGTGTCCTTTTCAGGAAAAAATATATTTGACAACTAATTTTAGTGTTTTTTTCAATACCTTTCACTTCAGCAGGATTCCAGTAATCCTCTACAAACTGCAACATTATTTTAGGAGTTGAAACACAAACGATCCTGTCTTCAAATAGTACTACTTGCTAATATTACTGTTTCATTTGGGGATGTCTCAGTAGATCTTTAGAGTTTTTATATAAACTTTCTGCATGACTGTCATTTAACCAGTATTGGAATTTCTTTTTTAATTTTGATGGTGAGTTACAGAATTTGGGTAGCTATTACTTGACTAAATTAAACCATATTTTTTTCTACCTGCATATGACAAATACTAAGGTTAATAGTATCTGTTTATAAAGAGGTGTATCTTCTTAGTGAAAGAAAATGCACTAAGCAAATCTGAATGTAGGTGAAGTCATAAAGTAAATATTTTTGCAGTTGTCATTGTAAGACATTGGGTTCCCACTCTTAATGTGGGATTAGCTTGAAAGTTATTATTCTTAATGAGTTGTTAAATGGAATGAAGTATAGGCAATTTGAAGCAACTTTTTAGCATTTGTAAGAATCTTGTATAAATGATTGCAGATTCTGATTTTCTTTTAAACATAATTAATCACAGAAATTATTTTTACTCATCCCCTCTTTTTTACACTTTTTTTTTTTTTTTTTAAATCTGAAGAGTGCTGAGAACTGAAAAATGTAGTTTTCTGGGCTTTCCAAGGAGGGAGAGAGAAGACAAATATTTATGATAACACATTAAAAATCCCCTAGTCAAGTGTAAGCACAGAGTTAAGATGAAGATAAATTTTGTTGCATTTACACTAAATTACCTCCTGATGGTTTTCTCAGCACAAGTTTTTTAAGGAAATCCTAGAAATTTATTACTGTTTCTCTCAAAAGACAACTGATTGTCAAATACAGGCTAGGTTTGTAGTAAGTCATTCTCTCTATCATTTTAGGCCCATGCAGTTTAGATAATTTGTGGATGAAGACCAAAGAAAAGTTGAATTACTTAATTTACATTTGATTGTGTATGCATTGTATTTGGCAAACTAGCACAACATGAGTTCCTCAATTTAATGAATGTCTAAAAGGATCAAATAAGTTCTTTTACCTTAGATAAAGGAAAATCTAGGTGATTTTTTTCAGCCTTTTTTTCCTAATGAAAAGACCATTCTTTAACAGAAACATAAATAACCATATATGTAGCCATACCAACAGCTAAAGACTAAGGGCTAATATCCCTTTGGTTAAGCTGTATTTGCTTAAATACATCTGTATTTCAGATGGTGGTAGACTTCAGCCAAAATAAAAGACAATGGAATCATTTTGGTGTTTAAAATTTGGGTATTTCATTTGTTTCTCAATAGTACAGTAATATTATATGTACTACAGAAGGAAAAATTAACACTTTTTGATAGAGTAGTTTTTGTTTGTCTTGCTCCCCTTATACTGTTGTTTATTGGTAGTATTCTTTCAAGCTATATATACACCTTTAGCCTTAACAGTGCTGTGTATTCTTGTCCTATTAATATTATTTGTTTTGTTTTTAAACTCATTTAGGAGATTTCTGTTACTTTATATTAGAAGCCCTATTTGGGAGATTTTTTTTGTTTTGTTTTGTTTTGTTTTTTAAATGTGAAAGCCTCAGAACTAAACTAATGAGTTTAATCCTCAAATAAGTTTGTGCATTGAACTAGGAGGCAAAATTCTGCTCAGAAATAACCTTTATTTTTCGAACTCAAGACTTCATTTCAGTACATAAGAAAGTTCAAAACATAGTCTTGAGCCTACAAAGTTGATTTTGGCCCTCTAAAATTATGTATACTTAACATTTTCAAACTCTATCCACCTCTGGAGATCCCTGAAAATATATATAAATCACACCTGGTTGCCACTTGAAGAGACAGTCTGGGCTTAAGCCATAAAGAAGGAACCAAATAGTTAAAGAAAAGGGAGAAACTGTTGGGAATATGATAGTGTTAGACCATTAAATTCTTATATAGCATGATAATTTAAATAATTATCACAAAAATAGTGTATGGCCCTTCTAATATATATTTCATAATCTCAAAGTCAGATATGAAGTCTAAATGGTATTCTAAATTAACTTGTCCTTATATATTATCACAGATAAGGTAATATATGTGAAATGTACAGTTAAAATATCAGAGATAATTTAAACTGATGGCAAGAACTGTTTTCTTTGTAACTACCAAGATCTCAGCACTTAGCATAAAGCCTAACAATAATAGGTGGTGAGTAAGCATCTGATAACTGAATAAATTATGTGTAACATGAGGTCTCTATTTACAACTTTCTCTACAGGCATGCTATCTAGTAGTAATATAGTGTGAATTGCAAATGTAATTTAAGATTTTTCTGTCAGCCACATTAAAAAGGTAAATAGAAACAGTGAAAAAATATTTTCATAATATAGTTTATATAATCCAGCATACCAAAATATCATGTCAGTGTGTTTGAATGAGTGACCTTACATTCTTCATAATAAGTTTTGATGTGTTTTCCTGGACAATGTTAGTCTTGGCATTTTGTATGACATTTGTTCTTTTCCTCAGAAATTCTTATCTTTTTGATACTCTTCTCTGACTAATGTTTTTTGAGATCACATACAGAAGTGCTTATGTAATTAAACTAAGTTGAATTGATTGATAGTGAGGATACCTGACACCTGCCCTCCTCCAGGTGAAAGTGTGCCCACTCTTTCCCTGTCTATAAAGTGAGGCAGAATATGCTATCATCTGTTTCATTGGATTAATATAAATTATGTCTTTAAAACACTGAACTGCTGGGAAGGATGGTATAAAAGATTTTTACCATTAGTCTCAGTATTAAAAAAAAAGGAAGAGACTATGCACATGGAGGTCAACTGTCCAGTTTTGCTTGTATACTTAACTTCTTTTATAGATATCCCTGAGTCGAAATCATGAAACAAGTTTTTTTGGAAAGAGGTGAGAGCATGGGGATTGATAAATGTGTGTTAGTAGAAAAAGAAAAATCATTTATTTAGAAGATCAGTCACCACAGAATGTGTGATGTATAACATAGTGACTAATTCTTATATCCAAACCAAGGAGCGGCAGTGGTTACTTGGTAATCAGTAATACATAGCCAAATATAAACAAATTAAATACACAGTCAAATCAAATAGATGTCTCCTTACTATTCCCTTTAAATTAAAAAAAAAAACTACTTTTTATTATGGGTGAATATTAAATATACTTATTGCCTAAATGTAACATATTTTATTGATATCCTTAGATATATTCACATTCTAATCTTTT